TAAATATAATCGTATGGATCTTCCTCAAATGTGTCATTTCGGTTTGATGAGTTGACAATGACCTCAGTAGAGGTTTCTACATCTAGGACATTTGAATGTAAAAATATGGTTAACATTTAAGAACTAAACCTATGTAAAAATATAATTATCATTAAAGACCTATATCTATGAATACAAGAATGTAAAAAAATAAATTAAATAATAAAAACAAAACTATAAATGTTCTGATGGAAAAAAAATTGCATCATATATGAAGCGACGATAATGAAAATTGATGCTTGAATATACATAATAAAGATATGGATTTTACCTGTAACATCCATAACTTCATTGTTCTCTATGGTAGTTGTCAATGTTTCAATGCTTGTATGTGGGTTACCACTTGTTGCTGTTATGTTGTTTTCCTTACATCGTAGATAATAATTTCTATTATAAGTTCTCCTTCTTTCAGCAAGGGCTACTGCACTAACTGGTGTTGCATCCACTGCAGCTAAATTGGTGACAGGTGTTGCACTAACTGGTATGGTGTCCGTTGCATTGCAATTGGTGACATGTGTTGTAGATTGACTATTTCCTTCGCCGATTGCTAATTTTCGCCTTTTGTTAATATCCTTTTGCCGTACATAATAGTCTCGATTGTATTGTTTTCGTTTTTCTGTAAGAATATGATTTTCCGTGAAAGGTATATTATAAAAGACAAATAATATAAAGGTAGTCCCATTTCTATATACTACACTTACCTTTTTTCAAATCTAGATCAACTTGTGTAACAACACCATTGTCACTTTCATCGTCTACATCCTCATTAACAATCCTCATTTTACACTGAAAAAATACATAAAATGAATAAAAAATAATTTCTGGTTTATCATTATTCGTTGTTTGGATGTTAAAAAATTATCATTATCATCATCAAATGCAATCACACCAAATACCAAATATCATCACCAAATGTAAACATAYYAAATACTATAAAGGTCATTACCAAAAGTTTATAACTAAATGTTATGGTAACAAAAAACGAATAAAACATGATAATAGTCTTGATTTCCACATATTTTTATATTTGATGATAGCAATCTAATGTTATCCGCTTCTGGCATCTGTGGTTCGAACTCAATCTTGGTTAACTCCGTAGAACTCAAAATGTTCACTGAAAATTATATAAATAATATAAATTATTAGATTCATTAATTTTAAATAACGGTGCACAGAAAAGATTATATAGAAATTAACTTATAACGTACTTGACTTCTTATGGATAAGTTTAAGTCGAGATGCATATATTATAGATTTATCTTTGATTGCACGAGCGATCCTTACAGGACGTGTACGTGAGTGTCAATCAAATTCATCTTTATTATATACCCCATGTTCATAAAATGAATGCATTTAAAATTTGTAATAATATGTTAAAATTTGTGTGGCTGTGTATGTGTGTGTGTGTGTGTTGTTTAGAAAATTTTATATGCTTACGTTGCATCTTGTAGAAAAAGTTCACATGAACCAATTCGAAATAAATGTTTATGACGTACATATGTTACTCGTCCTCCCGCGATGATTTTTCCAACAATATCTGAACAATATTATTCATATGCTTAAAAAAATAAACAAAAATTATGGTTTAACAAAAAAAATAAAATAAAATTTGTAATTTTAATTAATAGTTTAGATGTACCAATAAGTATTTTCTTAGTGGTCTTATCCTCCGCAACAGTTTTAATTGA